CTATCGGCTCACTGCAACTCTGCCTCCTGGGTTCAAGCAATTCTCCTGCCTCAGCCACCTGAGTAGTTGGGATTACAGGCATGCGCCATTATACCCAGCTATTATTTGTGTTTTTAGTAGAGATGGCGTTTCATCACATTGGCTAGGCTAGACTCGAACCCCTGACCTCAGGTGATCCACCCGACTTGGCCTCCCAAAGTGCAGGGATTACAGGTATGAGCCAACATGCCTGGCCAGAGATGCATTTTTTTTGTTGTTGTTGTTGAAAACGGGATCTCGCTATATTGCCCAGGCAGGTCTCAAACTCCTGGGCTCAAGCTGTCCTCCCACTTCTACCTCCCTAAGAGCTGGGATTACAGGCGTGAGCCACAGCGCCTAGCCCCAGAGATGCTTTTAATTATCCTGATCTCCTCCCTTGGCACCGAGGCAGGGTGTGTCCACCACCCCTTGGGTGAACGTCTGGGATGGGCTCAGTAACTGAATCAATGAATAAACAACACATCCTCTGATGACCCAGCATGGGTACCATGCAGACCATCAACGGAAGACAGGAGAAATGCCCCTCCTGCCCCAGAGATGGCAGAGTGGATCCACCCCACACGCTCCAGCTCACTAGCCTAGCATTGCCCAGGATTCCAGCCATCATGTGAAACAAGGTTTCCTGCTTGTAGTAAATGCTTATCCATAATCTGGAAAGGAAGATGAAAACACCTATTAAACCACCACAGACCTTGCTACTCCAAGCGGTGTGTCAGCTGCCCCATTCTGCACCCCTTCTGTGCATATAAACATAAGCAAAACATACCTGAAAGACCACAGAAGAATGGCCAGTCGCCACCCTGGTGGCATTGTTATTCTTGTGAGGCTGGGTGATCGTCAGGTCCAGGATGAGCTCAGCAAGCACCAGGAGGGCGTCCAGAACCACTAAGCAGATGATGATGACCTGCAGATGAGGGAAGGCACCAGAGACTGTGAGACCCACATGGAGGCCCTCCCTCTTCCCATCATTAAGAGCTGGCTTGGAAGCACATGGGTGAAACTGCTGGGCAAAGCCATAAAGGATGGGAGACCATGACCACAGCTCTCCAGAGCTGCCCCTCCCTTTTACCCCCCTGTTAGGATGGAGGCTGTGCAGGGCCAGCTCCTCTTCGGGAGAAGCCGCCAGCCTCCTTTCTGCCACCCTCCCAGCCGGCTCTGCCTCCAGGCGGTGACCCCCTTCCCTGCCTTCCCAGAACATCTTTGGCTCATTTTCTGACCCTTGGTCACTATTTCTGAAATACCACCTCTCAAGCCAAACTGCCCATGTCTAGATGCAACAAATAATCATTTTTTTAATTTGTATTTTTCTTACTTTTTTTTGTTGTTGAGGCAGAGTCTTGCTCTGTCACCCAGGCTGGAATACCGTGGCATGATCTCGGCTTACTGCAACTTCTGCCTCCTGGGTTCAAGCAGTTCTCATGCCTCAGCCTCCCCAGTAGCTGGGATTACAGGCACGTACCACCACCAAAATAAGTTTTGTATTTTTAGCAGAGACAGCGTTTCACTAAACATGTTGAGCATGTTGGCCAGGCTGGTCTTGAACTCCTGACCTCAGGTTATCCACCCACCTTGGCCTCCCAAAGTACTGGGATTACAGGCGTGAGCCACCGTGCCCAGCCAAATTTGTATTTTTTTATTCCTGGGGACTGCTGTTGCTGGGGTGCTCATAGAACAGATGCTCAATAAATAACACGGTCCCACCTCAGCAGTCTGACTCCTGGAAGGGACCTTGGGGACTGCCTACTGCAGGCCATTCGGCTATAGGGACAGCTGCTGTGCTCACAAACCAGCTTGTGCCCAGAGATGTGAGATGCCTGCCCCAGCTCACGTGTGCTCACAGTGGGTGAAGAGGGTGAAGGGGAGAGGAGTCCTGGGTGTCCTGGAGAATTGAGGAGAGCTGCTATGGGAAAGACAGCCTCTTGGGCTTTGTGATGGGCTGACAGAGAACTGATGGTGGCTATGGGAAGCAGCTGGCAGTGATGGCAGTCACAGTGACAGCTGATGATGATGTTGGCAAGGGCACTGATAGCAGGGTGGAGGTGATCAGCATTGGGGATACCATGGTGGCAGTGGAAATTCAGCAGTGGGAGGAGCCCCAAAGGACCTCGAGTGACCCCTCTCTTCCCTTGGAAATTCCATATCCTCACTGTCCTCCCCCTGGGTTTAGCCTCTCACGCTCTCAGATCAATAGATTCTGGCCTCTGAAAATTAATATGCCATTATTTTGGTAGTTTCTGCAGTTTCAGGTTAAAATTAAAGAAGTTCAGGTCTCTGCAAGAACAGACTACTAATCCTTTCATCCTTTCAGCCTGTAGGTAATTATTTCAGTAATTAAAGTATTTGATGACGTGGTTTATTGTGAAAATTGCATGGCACATTGCTTTGTAATGAAGTTTTCACACATATCCAAATTCAGCAAGCTTAATAAAGGTGCAAGCCTCTAGTGGGGTTTTTGTTGTTTTTCCTTGGATTTATTTTGGAACTAAAGGGATCTGAGAGCTCATGTGATGTAAAACCAAGCCACAGAGCTACAAGGGACAGACCTGATATTCAGCCATGAAAAGGATGAGGTTCTGACCCATGCTACGATGAAATTGTCATACTTAGTGAAAGAAGGCAGACAGAAAAGATCACACACTATGTGATCCCATCTATATGCAATGTCCAGAAATGGCAAATCCAGAGGGACAGAATGCAAGTTCATGGTGGCCTAGGGCTGGGGGAGGGGTAATGGGGAATGGCTGCATGACTGCTGATGGGTACCAAGTTTCCATTTGAAAATGCTGTGGGGCCAGGTATGGTGTCTCACACCTGTAATCCCGGCACCTTGGGAAGCTGAGGCAGGCAAATTACGTGAGGCCAGGAGTTCGAGACCAGCCTGGCTAACATGGTGAAACACCACTTCTACCAAAAATACAAATAAATTAGCCAGGTATGGTGGCACATGCCTGTAATCCGAGTTACTTGGAAGGCTGAGGCAGGAGAATCTCTTGAACCCAGGAGGTGGAGGTTGCAGTGAGCTAAGATCACGCCGTTGCACTCCAGCTTGGGCAACAAGAGCAAAACTCTTGTCTTAAAAAAAAAAAAAAAGAAAAGAAAATGCTCTGGAAGTAGATAGTGGTGACTTGTACAACATTGTGAATGTATTAAATAAATTCCATGGAGTCATTCACTTAAAATTGATTGTTTTGTGAATCTCACCTCAATTTAAAAAAAGAAACAACACAAAAGAAAAATGAGAGACCAACCCAAGGTCACAAAACTACGATGCCCAGATACCAACCCTGGCCTCTGTGAAAACTCGTCCCTGGGGCACTGAATCTGCCAGTTCACAGGCAGTGCTGCTTCTGAGGGGAACCAGGTCACAAAGAAAAATGCTGAGAATTCAGAGAAGCTGCTTCATTCCAAATCCTCACCCTGGCAAAGACTGCAGGGTCCATGCCGTGGGGTGGCCAGTCCTGGGCTCAGCTCCCAGCTCCCTCATCTACCTGGACCTTGGGCACATCTCTCAATGCTGGAAGCTTCAGCGTCCTCTTGGGGAAAATAGGGTCTACCCCAGAGCGACAAGGGGAGCATGACATGAGTGAAATGTGAAGAGCGTTTAGCACAGGGTTGGCCTGCAGTGCATGGGAATGAAAGCGAAGCTCCCGGACCCCCAGGACCGTCTTCCCTTCGCTCGACTCTGTCCTGCCCATTCATGGCTTCCTTGGGCTCTGAATCACCCCATATTCTCGCCCTGGGTTGTGCTGTCCCATCTGAGAAGGGACTGCAGTTAACTTTTGATATATTAAGCACCTTGGCCATCTCAAACCACCCAAGTAAGGGATCCCAGGACCTTCCTGCCAATCCTACCTGCAGAGACCACAACCCTGAGCCTTCTCGCCTACTCCGGTGTGGCCTTGCTGCTGCCACCAAGTCACTCTACAAATCTGATCCCCAACTCATGCACTTAGAGCCTTAGAAGGCAGCCCATGGCCCATGGATGACCTTCCCTGGCCTCTTCTCTTGCTAAGTGCCTGCTGGCGACATCCACACCCGAGCCACGTGTATCCTTCTCAATTCCTCCAATGCTGCAGGCCTTTGGCAACCAAAGCCCCTCTACCTGGAAGGTCCCCCCACCACCCATCCATGGGGCTCACTCCTGCTTGGCATGCAGGTGTCGCCTCCTCCAACTCCAGTCGCTGATCAGGTCCCCCTACCCCCAGGACTTCTCAGAGCCTCTCTCCTCCCCGCGGAAGGCTTCTCTCCAATTGTAATCAGCGTGTTTCGGTTATTGCTCCTGTCATTCCTGCCTCTCTGCAGCCTGCCAAATTCTCTGTAAGGGCAAAAATGTGTCTGCCACATTTGTCAACTGTACATGACTGGTGCTCAATAAGTGACTGTTGGGTGGGTGGATAAACCCCTCCACTCACTTTGTGACAGGGATTTGTCTTTCTCCCCACCAGGAATGTCTCTGGGGGTCCTGGCTCAGGGGCCAGCCCCCAACCCTAAGCCCAGGCAGGATGGGGACATCTTGAGGAGGTGGCCCAGGGCTCCCCTTACAGCTGCAAGGAAGCTGGTTCCTTCCTTCTGCTCCTGAAATTGAGGGTTTGGGATTTCAACCCCAACAACTTAATACCACGTTTCCTTTCCCGTCACAGCCACAGAGGAGCTGGGCCTCCGGGCGCTCTGGCATGGCAGCTGGCTTGCTTCTCTGCTTTCAGCCACACAAGAGCGGGGAAAAAAAAGACCAAAATAGTTTTTCTCTCTTTTACCCTGGAATAAAGTCAGTGATGGAAGAGACAAGGGCTGCATCTCTCTGCTTCCCGAAGGGGGACAGGCTTTAAGGAGGGACAGGTCTATTTTGGTTGGGGCCATCTGCAGCAGCATCCCCCAAATGCCAGCCTTTGAGAATTGTGTGCTTCCCTGTCATCCCCAGGCCTGTGCCCTTCCAGGACTTGAATGTGCTTCCAGTCACTCAGACACAGGCTCTGCAACCTTGGGGATGGGGATGGGGTCCAGAGAGGGCTGACCAGTCTCTGCCTGCTTTTGTCCTTCAAAATCAGAAATGTCCATCTGGGTATGGTGGCTCACGCCTGTAATCCCAGCACTTTGGGACGCCAAGATGGGAGGATTGCTTGAGACCAGGAATTAGAGACCAGCCTGGGGAACATAGCAAGATCTCTTAAAAAAAAAAAAAAAAAAAAAAGCCCTTTTAAATGGCAGGCCATGGCTAGGCATGGTGGCTCAGCCTGTAATCCCAGCACTTTGGGAGGCTGAGACAAGCGGATCACTTGAGGTCAGGAGTTTAAGATCAGCCTGGTAAATATGGTGAAACTCCGTCTCTACCAAAAATACAAAAATTAGCCAGGCATGGTGGCGGGCGCCTGTAATCCCAGCTACTCGGGAGGCTGAGGCAGGAGAATCACTTAAACCCCATAGAAAGTTCAGTTACCTTTGCTCATCTGTAAGGACCGCCCTGCTCGGCTTTCTCCCTGTAATCACATCTGGAGGCCAGCAGTGGGTTAAGGCCAGGACAGGCAGGTGTTCTGGGCATCACTCCACCAGAGAGACCGAGGCCCCAGTGCGATGCGTCTCTGTGAGGCAGGGGAGCCTCTGGCACTGAGTTTCACAGAGTGAACGGGTATTTTTTCTGTCTCCATTATCTACCCTTTATTTACTTTTTTTGTGTGTGGTAAAATTTGCATAACGTAAAATTTACCATTTTTAAAGCTGGTGTAAAGTTCAGTGGCATTCCGTCCATTCACAAGGTTGTGCAATCATCGCCACTAGAATTCCAGAACATTTTCATCACCTCGAATGGAAACATTCCCACCTGTGGCAGCAGCCAATCTGCCTCCTGTATCTGTGGATTTGCCTGTTCTAGACATTTCGTATCAATGGAATCTTACACTCTGGCCTTTTAGTCTGGCTTCTTTCCCTCAGCACCATGTTTTCAAGGTTCATCCACATTGTGCCATGGGTCACTTCTTTGCCTTTAATGTTGGCATCATATTCTACTGTACGGACCGAACACATTTGGTTTAATACTCATCCATTAGTGGACCTTTTACTTTTGGATCATGGTTCTTTGCTCCCTGACAACTCAGAATCTGCCTACCGCATGCCCAGCATGGTACAGGGTGCCTGGCACATGCTAGGTGCTGGGAAAACACTTGTAAAATGAATGAGGCAGGGGCCAAGATGGGCTCAGCCCTGCTGCCCGCCTCACATTCTGAGAGCTCTCCAACCAGCCCTGGGCCTCCCGGACTCCGGCCCCACCTACCTGAAACCTGTGGGAGCTGAACAGTTTCCTCAACGTGCCCCTGAAGTCAAGGGGGGTCCTGGGCGCGGGGCCGGGGGCAGTGTCAGGGGCTGCAGCTCTGCCTTCCTCGCCTGAGGCTGGTGTGGGTGGCGGCTGCTCTTCCTCCTCCTCGTCCTCTTCATTCTCCCATTTCTTGTAGTTGATGTTCCAGGCCTGGTAGTCGTCCCCCACGACCGTGAAGTGCCTTAAGAGCTTGCTCATCCTCTTGGCGGGAGCCACCTTGGCCCTGCGGGTGACTGCCTAGAGGGCAGGAACAGAGAGCAAGAGCTTCAGCCAGGTGGCCCTGGGGCCCTCTGGACCACTCAGAGCCCACATGGCCCAGGCCGGGCCAGGCCACCACGGGTGAAGACAGCCCCGGGTGCTCAGAGCCCCCTGTGAGCAGAGACCATGAGGTCACGGTGGTTTCTCGTGCTTTTATTTTTGGAATCCAGGGTCTCAGTGTCTGTGAGGTAACAGGAAACTCTAGCCCCCAGCAGGCCTGTCACCGTGGTCTGCTTGGCAGTAACCAACGGAATCAGTACTGCAGCCCGTTCCAGAACACCCCCCATGGGCCCATGCTTGAATATTGGAAGGACCGCCCCAAGGTTCAGAGACGTCACAACCCAGAAACCGGAAGGGACTGTGGGCAGGGCGTGGGGAGGGGAAGCCAAAAGTAAAAGTACACAGAGTTTCACAGAGAAGTCGCGAGATCCCCACCCATCACGCCACACGTCAGACTGGACAGGCACGTGGCAGGTGGACATTTTCCAAGTTCAGCCAGTGCTATTTCCGTGGACAGCAGTTTAAAGCAAAAGCAAATATCCCTGTGCCCTCTCTCCATTTTGCTCAACTTGCCCTACCAGGAACCAAATTTTACATACATTTAAATAATTAATATGCATAGGTATGAGTGCAAAAGCAGGCTACATGACTCTTGGAACAGGAAGAGAGAGCCCAATGTCCTTGTGGGAGGCTTGAGGAGAGGGGGTGGCAGTCCAGATCCATGGGAAAGAAAGGCTGGGGAGGCTGGGACGCCTAGCTTTCTCAATAGGAAAAAAAAAATCCAATCCCCACCTTGCCCCACACATAAAATACATTTCAGATGCACTAACATTACTGTGTAAAGTATATTAAAAAAGGAACAACTTAAAAAGTCTTAGAACAAAATATAGGCAAGTAACTTCATGAGCTTAGGATAGGGAAAGATTGCTTAAATAACAGAAAACACCACAAAATAAGTTGGGCACGGTGGCTCACACCTGTAATCCCAGCACTCATCCCTGGGCTGAGGCAGGTGGATTGCTTGAGATCAGGAGTTTGAGACCAGCCTGGCCAACATGGTGAGACCCCATCTCTACAAAAAATATAAAAATTAGCTGGGCATGATGGCACATGCATGTAATCCCAACTATTCAGGAGGCTGAGGCCCCAGAATTGCTTGAAGCTGGGAGGTGGAGGTTGCAGTGAGCCAAGATCATGCCACTGCACTCCAGCCTGGGCAACAGAGACCCCCCCACCAAAAATGAACAACACAAAAACAAACACAAAATAGATTTGACTCCATCGAAACTAAAAGCTTTACTATGACACACACACACACACACACACACACACACACACCCCTACAAAGTTAGAAGACACACCACAGACTGGGATATTTGCGATGTATTTGATAGACAAAGACTTAGTATCCAGAATATACAAAGAAATCTTATAAATCAAAAAGATTGAGGAGAAACTCCATGGGAAACTGGGCAGTGGCTGTCAATAGGCAGCTTGTGTAAGAGAAAACCCAGATAGCCAAGATGCTCATCCCCACTAATACTCAGAAAAACGCAGGGTCAAGTAACAACCACACAACTTTTCACTCCTCAGGTTGACAAGAGTCTTAAAGTCTACAACATCAAATATTGGTGAGGGTGGGAAGCAGCGGGGTCTCTCGAATACTGAAGATAGACATAGGTACCAGCACCATCATTTTGGGAAGCAATTTGGCATGGTCTTGTCAAGTTGAAGTTGTGTATATCTTTCTGAATGATCTAGTGATTCCATCCCTACATCCAAAGAGAACTTGGACACATGTGCTCAAACAGGTGACATGTTTAAGAATGTTCATGCAAATATTCACCTAGTTGGCCAAGTGTGGCTCACATCTGTAATCCCCACACTTTGGGAGGCTGAGGTGGGAGGATTTCTTGAGTCCAGGAGCTGAGACCAGCTTGGGCAACATGGCAAGACCCTGTCTCCACAAAAACAAAAAAAATTAGCCAGGCATGGTTACACACACCTGTAGTCCCAGCTACTTGGGTGGCTGAGGCAGGAGGATTGCTTGAGCTTGGGAGGTCCAGGCTGCAGTGAGCCATGTTCTTCAGCCTGGGCAACAGAGTGAGACTCTGTCTCAAAAAAGAAAAAAATAATAATTCACCTAAATGTGGGAGACAGAGAAATGAATATTCTCTGTTCATGTGAGGGGACACTACACAGCTGTTAAAATGAATTAACTGCATCTCAGTAGGTCACTGGTGATGCCTGTGAGTACCTACTTGGCAGCATGGGACACAGTAGACCACTCCTTTCTTCAAACACTTCCTTCATTGGCTTCTGGAATGCCGCAGTCTCCTGGTTTTCCCGCTACCTCCTACCAGTGGTTGTTTCTTGCTAGTTTCTTTTTTTTTTCCTTTTTTTTCTTTTTTGGAGAACAGAGTCTCGCTCTGTCGCCGGGAGCCAGGCTGGAATGCAATGGCGAGACCTAGGCTCACTGCAACCTCCGCCTCCCGGGTTCAAGCAATTCTCCTGCCTCAGCCTCCCGAGTAGCTGGGACTATAGGCGCGTGCCACCACGCCCAGCTAATTTTTTGTATTTTTAGTAGAGACGGGGTTTCACCATGTTGGCCAGGATGGTGTTGATCTCTTGACCTCGTGATCCGCCCACTTCGGCCTCCCAAAGTGCTGGGATTACAGGCGTGAGCCACTGCGCCCAGCCTCTTGCTAGTTTCTTTTGGCCAGTGAATACCTTAGAGGAAGACCTTACATTTAATTTTCTTTTCTTTCATTTTTTTTTTTTTTTTTTTTAAGAGACAGGATTTCACTCTGTCACCCAGGCTAGACACAGGAGTGTGATCATAGGTCACTGCAGTCTTGAATTCCTGGACTCAAGCAATCCTCCTGCCTCAATCTCCCAGGTAGTTTGTACTATGGCACACTATACCATGCCTGGTAATTAAAACAAAATTTTTTTTTAGCGATGTGGTCTTGCTATGTTGCCCAGGCTGGTCTTGAACTCCTGGGCTAAAGCAACACTTCTGCCTCAGCTTCCCGAGTAGCTGGGATTACAGGTACATGGCACTGTGCCTGGCTTACATTTAAGTACACCCAGCACCTAGAACAGTGCCTTGCACTTAATAGACACTCAAAAATACTGAAATGTTTGTTAAGCAACAATGAATCTAGCAATGTGGGTAGCTCCTAAAAAATGTTGATTATAAAGGAAAGATATGGAAGAATATGACCAATGCCATACAACTTAAGTAAAAATGTTAAATATATGGAAAATATTATATATTATTTTGGAATGTATAAAATAGTGTAAACATACACAAGAATGAGATTTCTGCTTCTAGCCTTACTACACTATAGAGTAACTAGTAGCAGATTATCCCTCTTGACATGACGAATTATAAAACTGGATAAAATATGTGAAATTTACTGTGATCCCTTAGAGAAATGAATGAGGCAAATCCCACAAGCACCCTAGCTTTGTGCCTGAAGGTACTTGCTGGACTGTGAAGGCAAAGACTATGGTTCAGAGCTATCTCCCTCCCCTCAGGAATCTGCATGGCAATGTATCAGAAATAGAAAAGCTACGCAGAGGAGGAGATCCAAAAATATGGACTTTGGTTCAGTCCTAAACGTCATGTGTGTGAAACAAGATTTCATGAGGCAGGGAAAAATACAGCTTTCAGGAAAAAAAAACCCTTGGGGTGCTGTGATCTGAACAACTACCAGAGATTACAAAGGACAGGGTTGGGAGATATGTGAGCTCTCAACAGGCAGAGTAGAGAGACCTCATTGGACACCTAAGCATTCAGCAGGGATCCCAGAAAAATCATGCCTTATAAGGAGACCTAATCTAGCCTTACAGGAAGGACCACATTGCACTCATCCCAACAAAGCTTAAGAAGAAGCCTTGACCAGCCTGGCCAACATGGCAGAACCCCGTCTTTACTAAAAATACAAAAATTAGCCAGGTGTGGTGGTAGGCACCTCTACGCCCAGCTACTTGGGAGGCTGAAGCAGGAGGATCACTTGAACCTGGCAGGCAGAGGTTGCAGTGAGCCGAGATCATGCCATTGCACTCCAGCCTGGGGGACAAGAGCAAGACTTTGTTTTAAAATAAAATAAAACAAATTTTAAAAGCCCTGAAAAGAACAAGGTGATCCCTAGGTAAATTAACTGTCTGTTGGAACAAAACTTAATACTCTGTTAGAAAGACAACACCACAAAGTCAACATCGTAGATGCATACTGTCTAGCATACGGTAAAAATTAATAGACAGATAAAGCTAAAAAATGTGGCCCACAACTAATAGAAAAATCAGCTAATAGAAGACTCAAAATGGTCAGAGATAATGGAACTGGCCAACAAAGACTTGAAAACAGATATTAAAAATATATTCAAAGATTTCAAGGAAAACATGAACTTGATGAGGGAAGAAATAAGAATCTCAATAGAGAAATGGTAGCTACAAAAAAGATCCAGATGGATATTCTAGAACTGAAAAGTACATATAAGAAATGAAAAAAACACTGGATGGGCTTAACAGCTGATAACATACTACCAAATAAAAGATCAGTGAACTCTTAAAGACAGGGCAATAGAAAACATCAACTGGAAACACAGAGAGAGAAAAAAGCTGAAAGGAAAAACAAACAGAGACCCAGGGACCACAGCTAGTAGTCTAACGTGTGTGCACCTGCAGTGCATGGCCCTCCGGGGACTGGCATCTCTCCTTCCCACAGCTTCCTCGTCACATTCCAGCCACCCTTCCCTCCCTCTGATGCTCCACACCGAGCCATCACGTGGGCTGTTCCCTCAACCCGGAATGCTCTTCTTCCCACTCCGAGCTTGGCTCACTCTTACTTATGCTTGAAACTTCAGCTAAAATGTCACTTCCTCAAAGAGGCCCTCCCTGACCCCTAAAATCTAAATCAGCTCCCCTCCCATGTATAACCTCTCCTCGCACTTTTCCTTCAAGAGCCCTTG